CTGCACTCTACATTCTACAGAGGCCACACTAAAGAGAGGTTTTGGTTTGAGTAAGACTGAGGTAAGACTGAGGTTTAAGCTCAGACAAATCTGAACAAATGTACACCAGCAGGTATATAGGGAGACCTGATGAAAATGTAGGCCTCCAAGAACTTTAAATCTTTGGAAAGTATCCTCCAGCTTATGTTTAAACTTTGACTGGAACTCTCTTCAGCAACTACCTTTTGTTCCAAATTCCCAAACACTCCACTGAATGCCTGCACAGAAAGCAAGAACAGCCCTTTCTGCCCCAGCACCTTAATGATAAAACATGTCTTTTTCTTTCAGAAATCAACATTAAGGACATCCACTTTGAGATTTGTCCAGAACCCACAGTGAGTGGTTTATCCTTACAGAAATGTTTGAAACACTTTCCAGCCCCCACCCTAAGTCACAGTCCAGGGCCAGAATCAAGGGTACTGACTTGAAGCTATTCCTGTATCTGCCCACCTTTTCCACCCATCAAATCCTTATACTGGCAATAAATTAAAATGACAGAAAACCTGAGCCACCATGCCAACAAGCACAGAGGAAAGCAAAGCTCACTCAGCACCCTTAAAAAAAATACAAATGTAAATTCTACACACAGACTGTTGGACAGTGAAAACTGTTCACAACTAAGATAATCTTCTAGAGGGCTGAAGCAGACAGGAACAAAAAAAACCAAACCAAACCAAAAACTTTATCTTGTCAGTTTTTTAACAGTACTGTGTTAACCTCCAGGTGAAAAGATTCTCCAGTTTCTGTAATTTCTGCCATTCCAGAAGGAAACCAGTAGACTGAATTACAATTAAATCTTCAAAAACAAACAAAACAATACGTTATAAACCGATGTATCACTGTCATGGTCAATTTTATAATTTAAAACACAGTCATTTAGCATGCTTTCTCACTTTGCTGCAACTGATGGCAATGAGGCTCTTCCTTCCCATTCCCCCTTGCTCTTCCCACAAACCTGTTTTTATGAAAGAGATTGACACAAAGTTGAAGCTTGGAAAAAAAAAAAAAAAGACATTTTTATACACAAGGGTGTGAATCACACAAAAGTAGTCTATTATCCAGTTTAAAAAAAATTTGGAAAAAGAAAAAAAAAAGCACATACCTTGGTTTTACAATGAACATAGACGAAAGAGGGAAGAAGAAAACTACTAGAAATCCATTGTCTCAATGAAAGCAAGGATTTTTGAGTTCTGTCATTCTGTCATGTCACTCTGAAATCCTCCCACCCTGACCAAATCCTGAGCTACTTATTTTTTGGTCAATGAAAAACATGAATTCTTCGAAAAATTTCCTCCTGAAGCTCCAGAGTGCCAGATATTCTTGTAATACATGGACACACAGGAGCTGGCAACCCCCACAACACTGCAACCCTTAGGCCCACTCCACATTTAGGATTGTTGTGAGGACAAGCACACAGCATGAATAAAGTGGTCCTATAGGTGGACATAACTTTACAAGGACAAAAAGATGTTCTTGCTAATTCCAATCCTAAGTGAAGCTGTAAAAACAAAAGCAAAAGTGCTAGCGTGCAGAAACATCAGTATCTGACACTTCTGCCAATACTCAAAGTTAAACTTTGGGAATGAAGACCAAACTATGTCAATCAAAGGAAGACCTGTGCAACTAAATTTTACAACTTAAAAAGAAAAAAATACCTGTTTTCTTTATAGTGAAAAGCAGACCTCAAACTGCAAGAGATCATGAGTATATTTGTACCATGTGAGCACCTGGGTATCCCACTGAAGATGGAAGCACACTTTGCAGTTAAACACAACAAACAGAACAGCTGTTAACAAACTGGTATAAATTATGCCCTTATTTCTCCCAGTATGTGAAGTGTGTTACAGCATCACTTACCAATTCACATGCAGCTACCTTTTTGAAGAATTTACACTACTAAAACAAGCTGTTGTGCTTTTTCCTATGGAGTTTTTCCTTTATGCCAATGACACTTTGTGGAGAAGTTCTGAATTGCATTTAGTAAAAAAGCTAAAACTTGTTTGTGCACTGAACTCCACATCAGCTACTTCCACTGGAAACAATCAGGCTACTCATGTACAAAGCAAAGCTCCTGCATAATCTTTCCTAAGTGTGGGCCTAAGAAGGAAAAGTTAGGCAGGTTGCTTACACAGCCCACACGCATGAATACGTATTTTGTGCTCCCTGGGTAGCACACAGTAGCCTCATTAAAAAGGAGGGGAAAAGAAAATAATTATAAACCACACAGAACAGGCTTAAATTGTTTTGAGACATTAGGCAAAAATATTTTGGTAGATCACTCACTGTGCCTTACTCTATACTTAAAATATTTCATAAAATTACATGAGTTTATGTGTGTGTGTATATGTATATATATACATACACATATACATTAAATATATAAATATATATATACACACATATGCAAAATACTTTTTAAAAATAAGTAATTCTCTTTAGTACCTCCAAATGCAGAAGTAGCCTGTTACTACAATCAGAGCTAAAAAGAAAAAAACAAATGCAATACAAGTTCCTGCTCTAGCTGAAACGCAAGGCAAAATCTCTAATAATTCTGGAAGATACTAAATAAATCCATGAAAGCTTCACAAAAGCATCAAGTATCAGTACAATTATGATTTTTTTTTTTTTTAATGGGGAGAAAAACCCTTTCAAGTTTCAGAAGTTTAAAGACCACTACTCTATCCCTCTTAAACACAATTTGGGAAAAGTGAGGGTGAAATGGTGATGGAAGTTTCCCTCCCAATTTAATTCACCAAAGATTAGCTGAACTAAACTACAAAGAATTGCTTTTGAAATTTCACTGTGTGCACAATTCTTCAACAAGACACCTCACATAAACATAGAAGATGGCAGCAGAACTCTGATAAATATATTTATTAATTAAAAGGTACAGAAAATATAGAAGGGAAAATAATGCAGAATTACTTTGCACATAATGTTTTATTCTCCATTTTAAATTCTTAGTGAATGAGTTGCAAATACCACCAAGTATTTAAAAGACCCAAAAACCTTTACTGTTTTGTAACAGTCTACAGATACAAGGCCTAATAATGACTGACATTGTCCTTTACTAATCTAAATCTTTAACAGCATGACAATTAACAGTTCAGTACTTCAAAATCAGGTAGACACTTGATATAATCTTAAAAAGAAATACAATGAAACAGGAAAACAAAGCTGTCTGCTGAAATACAAGAGGAAAATGTTTGGGTTCTTTTTAAGTAAGGATTGGTATATGATAAAATATTTCCTGTGTCCTAGGTTCAGACACATTATGTCATCCACCCTTGAGCTAAAACTGGCTTCTGTGACTCCACCACCCACCTGCAACTTTGTAATGATACTTACTTGTCTTCATGGTACCAAGCACTGCCGTTGCTCTTATACTTTTATTAATGGTTTCAAAATCCAAGCACAACAATAATGCAAAATAGCAAAAAACACCTGCAAAGTGTAAAGCTGTATTGAAAATTCTATTCAACAAATAATCTTACGCTCACCAGCCACTCATTTCATCTTCTGGGATTCCTGATTGTAAGTTCAGGTAATAATGTGGGATCCCATAAGAATCTGCTCCCACTGGTATGAATGCAGAATGGGGGTCCCAGTTTCCTTTCACACAGTGTGCTGCTCCTGGAAAAACTCCTTTGTGAAATCCCAGCCCTAAAATTGGGATGTCATCCCTTACATACACAAAAGCACCTCCAAGTACAACAAAGTAGTGTCAATATAGTAACATTTGGTGAGCATTTTAATGAATACAGGTGTAAGATATGGGGTACAGGAGGGGATGACAGCTCCCTGTTACCAGCTGGGAACTCCATGAGTTACATCAGTCAGATACCAGGTACCTTTTGCAACAGAGGAATTACTTAATTACATCATACACAGGAATTACTGTGCACACTACATCACCCTACCTGTAGCTCCAAAGAAACACACACACAGAGTGAATTGGAGGGATTACTTTTTTTTTCTTTTCAGCTGAACGAAATAGTTTCACTGCTAACAGTGTTTTAAGAAGCTGAACATAGAGATGGCAGTTTTACAAATCAATCCAAGGATATCCAGGTGCCTATCCATGTAAGAACAACCACTGCAAATGGACAGAGCTTAAAAAAACCCGATGGATTTAAAAGCAAATATTAAAAAAGTATATTCAAATATCATCTGATTCGCTTCCCAGATGTGTTTGGCTCCCCCCATTATTTCACATGCAGATATCCTCCACTTTTTTACTTGGTATTAGAAAAACAATATAAAACAAGCAATATACGCTCCTAAACACATCACTTTCACTTACAGGAAGACTTTATTCTGAGGATAAGATTTAGAAGTCTGAAGTTAAATTACAGCCCTTCTGTAGAGAGAAGGAAAGGTAACAAACAACTTTGAAGAGGATATTCCTCCCTTCTACACAAACACGCTGCTGTTTGGAATGGGGTGGGAAGAGTTTTACCGTCATCACAACAGTCATAGGCTGAGGCAACCATGGAGTTTAGTGTTGATGCTGGAATGGAAACACCTCTGTTCAGCACTAATCTGTAGTACCAGCAAGTGATTCACTACAAACACTGTGACAAATCATGTGGACTGGTGAGTTTTGTATCCTCCCTGGCATCTGCCTCTTCCAAGGGAGCTGCCTCACAGCTGTCCCAGGGCCTGGGTGGTTGCAGAGGGTAGGAACAAGCGAAGTGGATGAAAAAGCTTTATTTTATTAATTAAAAACTGAAACTCTCTAAGTTAAAGAAGACATTTTGTCCACACACCTCGAGAGAAGAGGGCACACGCTCCCCATTTCTGACAAACAAAAAAAGAAGGAAAGCGACAGCGGAGCTTCAGAGGGTGGGCTTCACACCCACCACCCCGGACCTCCCCACAAAGAACAAGCAGCACAGCAACGAGGAGAAAGAGAAAAGCAGCGAGAGGCCACGGCTGTGTGGCGGCGGCTTGAAATTTACCTGGAAATCAGCCAATATCATTTCTCGGTCCATGTTGGACGCCATTGCAGCCAGCTGCGTCCCGGCTCTGCTCGGACCCGCGCACCTGGAGCCGCTGCCGCGGGGAGGACGGGGCAGGGTGGGAGCTCAGGAGCTCATGGAGGCGCCGCGCTGCGCTCGGGCTCCCGCGGCGCCCCCGGGCCGCCCCTGCCGGGGCCGAGGAGGGGAGGAGGCAGGAGAGCGGCGGGCCGGGCGCGGGGCCGGGAGCGGGCAGCGCTGCCTCAGCCGCTGGCCCGGGAAGGAGGAGGAGGAGGAGGAGAAGAAGGAGGAGGAGGAGGAGGAGGCAGCGCCGCTCCCCGCCTGCCTCCACAGCGCCTGTGTCGCACATTTTGCCTGTCATTGAGGTCGCAAAGAGGCGCTTTGCGGCCGCCACGTGACTGCTCGCCTGTCAAGCGCTCCCGGAGCCGGGGGCGGGACCGCGCCGAGCCCGGGCCGGGACCGCCGACCCCGCGCCCGGCGGCACCGGAGCGGAGCGGGGAGCCCCGGCCCGCGCCCTGCCCGGCGCAGCGGGGCCGCGGGGCGGACACATCCTTACGTCCCGCGCCGGGGGTTGGCGGCTCCCCGGGCCCGGCCGCGGCGCGCGGTGTCCCGGCTGGGCTCCGCCGCCAGCTGCGGCCTAACGGGTCTGAGGGAACCTGGCTGCAGCCGGCCCCGGGCGGCGCGGGGAAACGCGGGCCGGTGCAGCTGCCGGGCGGAGCGCGGCCCTGCCTGTCTGTGTGGGAGCGGGGCATCCATCCATCCATCCATCCATTCTCCCTCCTCTCCGTGGCCGCGCTGGTTCCGGTGCTGCAGCGGCTCCCGGCCGGTCCCCTCCGCTCCCGGGGCCGCGGTGCCCGCCCGCTGCCCCGCACCGCCCGGCGCTCGGGGCAGCGGCGACATTTCCCCCGCGTTCCCCCGGCTCAAAAGATGGAAATGCATTTTCGCAGGTTTTTCTGAGCCAACACACCGGGATCTGCACAGCGGCCCTCGCTCAGGCTTAGCACTCCAGCACTGTAAGATGCAATTCTATTATATACCGCAAATAAACCTGCTTTAAGCAATGCAAATCTAAACTGATGCTTGCTGAGTCTGCCTTCTACAACCTGACGTTCGTGTACCCCCTTAGCACCGACACAAAATACACATTTGGATGCCAGCTTGCTAATTATCCCAACACGTTTTGCTCTGCTTCTTTGAGTGTCCTGTGAGTGTCGCAGCCGAGGTCACGGACGCACCGAGCCGCTTTCCTGTCACCTCGTAACGCTACATTACGATACCTTTGAATCAAGATACTCTGCCGGCTTTAGGAAGCAGCGTTCTTTATTGTTTCTCTCGCCCATCCGCGGGGTTTCAGGGGGGCTCAGCGAGCTCGCTGCCGCCGCTGGCCCCGGGGCGAGCTGCGGGGGGAGCCCGGCGCCACCGCGGACAAAAAAAAAAAGGAAAAGCTCAGCTGTACCTTCAGGAGGGTCCGTGATCCCAAGGAAAGCCCTGGGGATGGTCTGGAGCCTGCTGCGGGCGCCTGGGCTGGGTGTCTGGCGGCGCTCCGGGCGGGCTGAGGCCGCACGGAAACGCCACTGAGGATGCGAAGCCACGGAGTCAGAGAAGCTGGGTTTTACATTTTACCGTGTTCCTGCTCTAGTTTGTGTTGGCAGGGCTTGCCAAGAGGTTTTTATTGCCCGCTGACGTGAGCTTAACAGTGCGAGCTCCCCACCACCGACCGGAGGGATGATAAATTAATTGCCCTCACACCTGCGCCTTTTTTTTTCCCCCCCAGTTTGATGTTACAGACAGTTCTGTACTAAGTAGAAGATATGGTGCAGTGCCAGGGACAGCCTATGCTAAATTACAAACAAATCCACCCACACATTACTAGAGAGTAACTATAATAAAGGCTGAAAAGCGAGTTTTAGCAATTGGAATAAAGCCAATTAATTCCTGGCACAAATTGAAGCTATAGGTACCTTGTCAAGATTAGTTACACGGCGTTCATGTCTATTACAGTCATATTTTAAATAATGATATCTATATTAGATCAAAACAGGAAGGATTTGATCCAGAACATGAAGAAAAGGTGAAAAGCTGCACATGCCCCACATCTCAGAAAGTTCACGTTCAAGTCACAGCTAAAGTTTCTGTTTGCCTTCTCACAGCCTTTCTGAGCCTTTTGAGGTGGGTTTTATCCTCCAACGAGTGAGAGACAAATTAGGGAGCGGATTGTTTTACTCCTTATAATGCCCGGTGATAATATCTCCCTCCAGAAGTTGTTTGTTGCTGGTTTCTTGGGGCTTTTTTTCTGCTGATTCTGGAACCGATCGGGACAAATCTCTCTGTTTTAGGTGGAGCATCTTTATCACTCATGAGAGGAAATGATCAGGACTAACGAACTGCTTTCTGCAAAGACTTTTGACAGACATGCAGGGTAGAGGAAGTTTGATGGCATTTTCTGGCCAGGCAGCTTTACTTGCAGGAGGCCTGCAGCACTCCAGCTATACGTTACTTAATTATTTTGCTACGTGGCGTGATTAACAGAAGATGGAAGCTTTATTCATAAACCAACAAAAAAAATAGTGTGAGACTGTTGTAATATTTGCAGGTCTAATTTTGCACTAAGTTAGCAACAGGTAACACCACGAAAACCTATGGATTTTAGGCAGTAATTAGTCACAAAATAAGTAATTTATAAGCCATCTGACTGAATAATCCAAGTTTTACATATAAATTCCCTCTTTATGCAACTGTATTTCAATAAACAGATGCTACTTGCATATGTATATTTCTAGAGCTAACTTTGAGGGAAGTTATAATTTATATTTTCGCTTTTAAAAAATGGGGGAAAAGGAGGGGAAAAAAGCACTATTACTTCTGGACGAGAATTACCACAGTGAGGCCCTCAAAATTACATGTGTTTTTTCTCTCCTTTAGTGGGAATGGGAGTGGAGGGTCAGTTGATAAACTGAACAAAAAGTTGTTTTCCCTGCTTCGTGTGTAGGCAGCTCACACTTGTCACCTTTGTGATACTCGCAAACAAGCGCGGATGGGGGAATCAGCACAGGAAAATAAAACTGCAAAGCAAAAAAGCAACCGAAGCTGAGAGGAAAGCCAGGTTCAGAAGTCTGGCTCCGTTCAGCCGCAGATCCACTGCTGTAGAACCGGCTCGGTTTGACGGCGGCGGCCCCGACTCAGGCCCCGGCCAGCCCCGGCCCCTGCCCGGCGGCCAGCGGCAGGTTCCCCGCGCAGGGCAGCGCTGGAGGAGCTGCGGCCACCGCAGCCTCCCTCCCTAACGCACCTCCCCGAGCTGTCTCGCCTGTTTACATTCAAAAATCACTTTCCCGTGGCGTCCAGGCAGAAAACAGACGTGCAGATTGCCCCTGCGAGCGATGGGTTACGTGTGCTTATCAGGGAGCCATGACATCGCTGCTTACCTCTCGGAGGGTTCGCTTGGCAGAACGCAGTCCTCCGAGGGTCCCTGAAACCTAAAGCAATCCAGCCATTAAAGCACTTTAAAACACTAAATACTGTTAGGCAGAGTGGCGGTGACATCCCCGTCCTGCACCATCCTCACTTCTTCGCCCTGGGAAGGAAAAGCGAAGTCCTCGCGTCTTCTCGGTGCCCGGGCGCGGTTCCCCTTCAAAATGGCACTTTCGAATCAATCAAGGACACCAGAAACGCGGGAAGCAGGGAGCGCTGCCGTGGACGGTCGCCTTCCACCGTTAAGACAACTTGACATTGACCCTTCATCCTTGACCTTGTCCTGAGGATGGGAGAGGAGCCCGCGCCGCTGCCGGGGCGGCCCGAGCGCGGAGCCGCTGCCCGCGGGGCGCCGAGCGAGGGCGAAGGGGCCAGGCCCGGCAGCGGAGCCGGCTCCGCTGCCCCCGCGGGCAGGTGGAGACCGCCGGCGAGAAGCTCCGGGCAGCGCCGCGGCGGAGGCCGCCCTCCCGCCTGCCAAACTCCCCCGACCCCGCTCCTCCCGCCGGGGTGCGGCGGCTCCCGCTGCTACAGCCTCCTTTTCCTTTCATTTCCCCCCCTCCCCTAGGCCTCAGCAGCGCTGCTCCGAAACGCAGCCGGGCTGTGCTGGCTGTGGCGGAGCCGTGCCCGGGCTGCGCGGCGAGGGGACGGCACCGGGCGCCGCGGAGCTGCGGCGGCCGGAGCGCGGCGGGGCCGGGCGAGGGGCGGGCGGGAGCCGCTGCAGGCCTTCCTGCTCGAACTCCGCCGCGCCTCCTTAAATCTCTGCCGTTAAAATGTGGGCGGGTGTTTCAACTCAAAAAGCGCTCAAATTTTTTTTCTTTTCAAAAAAAGCTGATGAGGTTAAAAAAAAAAAAAAAAAAAAAAAAAAAAAAAAAAAAAGGAAAAAAAAAAAAAAAAAAGGAGAGAGAAACCGGCTTCGTGTCCTTAGGAAACAGAAGTAGCGATTGTTTGCGCTTAAAAAAAGGGGGAGCGCAAAGCCGCGGGCGGAGGCGGCGGCCGCGGACCGGCAAGTGCAGCTTTATTTCGCGAAGTTGGAAGAGGAGGCGAGCGGGGCTGTCAGTGCGGCTGCGAGCGCGGCCGGGCCGGGGCAGCGGCGGCACCAGCGCAGCCCCTGCCCCCGCCAGGAGCTCGCCCCGCGCCCCGCGGCCGCGGCGGGAGGAGCGGCTGTCCCGGGGAGCGCGGACAGCGGCGGCGGGACCCCGGCCGAGGGACCCCGACCGAGGGACGACGGCGGAGAGGGCTCCGCGCCGCGGCTCCTCCACGCCCTGAGCGCGGGCGGCGGTTCGCGGCAGCCCCCCCGCGCCGCCCGCCGCCCTCCTGGATGCTCCGGAGCCGCCGCCGCCGGGGGCGGCCGCCGGCCGGGATCGCGCCCGCCCGCTGCGCGGAGGCTGCGCGGGGCCGCGGGAGTGAAGCTGCTGCTGCTGCTGCTGCTGCGGGGAGCGAGAGCACCGAGGGAGCGAGCTGGGCGCCGGGACAGCCGCCACCGCCGCCGCGCCCGGCCCTCCGCGGGCTCGGCTCGTCCTTCCCTTCCCTGCTGGGCCCGGACTAAGCCGACGGAGAGGGATGGAGGGGGGATCCCGAGCGGGAGTTGGATGCACATTGCTACAGGAGACCTTTCCTCCGAGCTGCTGCTGCTGCTGCTGCTAAGTTTCAGAAACCGGCTGTGAACAGGGTGGGTTGTCTTCTTCTTCCAAGATCTCAGGTCTGAGTGAGTCTCCGGTGTACGTGTATATATGTTACCTATAACATATACAATATATTGCATAGCTGTTAATCTATTCCCCCCCTCCCCCCGCGAAAGTGGCCAAAGTCTTTAATAAGAGTTACTCTATATGTGGAAGCAAAGAAATCTTGCTTCAAGTGGAG